TTGGTTTTTCTGAAGCTGGTTAACAAGCAGTTAACAAGAGTTAACAACCTCTTGGCAAAACTGGATTGGGCAAGCCTGGGTTCAGGGAGGGTTAAAGAGAAGAGCTCTAAACTTGGTACTATTTGTAGATGCTGGAAAAGAGGATGAAATGGGAAGGAGCTCAGCCTGAGAGAAAATAGGAAAGGGAGGAGTTTGCTGGTCAAGGAGGAGTCAATTTGTGAGGAAATCTGCCAAATATCACGATTAGGCAAGCCAAGCTTGGGCATCCTTTTCTTGATTGTTTTGGACCTTTAGGGGCTTAAGGATGCTCAGAGTAGAGGAAAACTAAAATGAAGAGAAAGGGGGGTGGTCAAATAGCAAGGCGAGGGAGTAGGGGAATGAAAATTGACAATTGCTGCTCTGTCTTTACCTCAAATGAAAAAGACAAAATTATTCTGGAAGTGGCTGTGGTTAAGAAATTCTTTTACCATAATATTAAAAATGCTTTTTAGCACGGAGCAGTTCTCTGGCTTTACTCTGTGAGCACTGGGCTGCAAGAGGAGGAACACGTGCCTGCGTAGCCATACGGCTGCTAGTGGCTCTGTTTGGTTTTTGGTGTGAGCTTACTGCTGGTTCCTTGACATATGTGCCAAAGAGGAGCACTTCCTAATGGACTGAAGGTGAATGAAACAGGTCTGTGGAAGTCTCCATCAGACTATGTTTTGCCTTACATATGTAAACTCTTCCCTCTCTGATTTATTGTTGATCCCTAAACACATCTCTACTGTAAATATTTGAACACTCAGCAATAGCTTAACATTCCCTATCTTGGTTCATGCTTTAGCAGCTGAAATATTGCTAGTAACAGAACACAAGCTATCTTTTCTGTAACTTTGGTTATTCGAAACTTTTGAAGGGAGAACTGGAAAATTTGGGACTTCAATATTACTATCAGGCATTTGGTAAAACTGCGGTAATGTCCTGTAACCACTCATTACTCCTTCGGGAGTACAGTATGTGTATAATGTAATATATAGTATATAAATGCTGCTTAATGGTTAACCAGGTAATCTGGGAAGCTTGCAGCTATTAAGTGTCTTAAAACTAGTGCTTTACAATGCTCAGAGTAGCAATTATAAACAACTGTGTTAACATTAGCCAGCTGGAAGCAATAGCCAAGTCGAATGCGTCTTCCCATGATTATAGGGATTACTTTTGTTCTATAAGTCTGAAAAAGCAATGTGCTTTCTTGAAGACTTAATGCCCCTCACTTTACAAAGACCTCCTCCAGCCTGTAGGCTGAGTAGGCTTGTCATGCTTCAAAATATTTTAAAATGTTATAGTATGTAACTCTTCTAAAATAAGAGCCTTCAGTTTAATACTTGCAGAAAAATTCTAAAAAAACAAGTAAGACAAAAAACCAAAAGTTGTTATACTGAGTGGATAAATCAATGGAAACTCAAAGCAACTACTCTTGCTGGCATTAGTGTTTCATACAGATATGTGCTTTCCCCATCCACACTTCAAAAGGCGCCCTGTGCACTTAGTCTGCCCCAGGCTTCAGTTTGGGAAAGGCTTCTGGGCATTCATTTTGGTGTTGTATAGTTCTGTGACTTGTTTCCAGCTCTTCTGTGCTTAGTCCTGGATGTCTGAATGTGGCTTCCAGCAGCAGACACTTCATCTCCAAATGGGTAAATACATCTTTAGTTTTAAAATACAACTAGAGTTAATGCCACCCTAAATTAACTGGTGCCGTACAAAACACGGGCGTATATCCTCTTAATTTGAATTTTAGTGATTTATCGGGCCTTTCTACTGAGAAAGCTCTGTTTGCCCTTTAAGAGGAAGTAAGGAAGTTGGCACTGTTATATAATGTAACTATTAAAACAACCTGTGCTGATTCTTCCCGAAAGGATGTCCAGGCAGTGTTGGCAGCATCTGTGTGATGCAGCTCCCTTGTGAGGAGGTTTAGGACATCGGTGGTTCCCAGAAGAACTAAGCTGTGACTTGTAAAGCAGGAGAATAGAGATGGATTCATCGCAAGACTGAGACAGTCTTCAGGTTCTTGCATTTTTGCCTCCCTCAGAGCATGTGTTATCTGATTTATGTCCCACTGTAGGCTCCAGTGCCATGCAAAGGAGGCCTTGATTTATTCTAAATGTTATCTCCTGTGTGGGATTCACAGGGGAGGCTGACTTGAGTTAGGATATGAAATCTGACCTCAACTTCTTGAAAAATGAGCTTTGTCCCTTCCTTATTTCATTCCAATATGAGAGATACTTGAACGCATTTGATGTAACATAGTAATTGTATAGAGCTTTTTCTGAAGAATTGCCAACACGTTACTCCACTGTAGAGGAATGTGATATTTCTAGTGTTCTACTTCAGTGACTGGATTAAATAACTGATGAAAGCCTGTTATTTTGAGGGACTGTTGCTTGTTGTCTCTGCAGTAAATGGCTCACTAAATATTCCACTTTTGTGCTTGCTTGCAGTACTCTTGTTCATCTATTGTGTCCTCTTATCTGTGTCTTCAGAACACTTATTTCTGTACTCTTCCTTGTTTAGGGAATGGTGATTTGATTTTAAATGCCTAAGTTGAAAAACAAAACAAAAAAAAACCTTAAAGGTTCTGTGTCACAATTTAAATTCTTTTTCCCCCTCAAAGTGGGTTGTAGAAAATCGCATTTGAGCACATGGATAAGTATTTTAGCAGAAGCCCTTACAGGCAAGCACTCAGCAGTAGAAGAATTAAGAAAAAAGTGCAGGCTGCCTGAAACCAGGACCCCCTTGGATTTGCTTCTGAAACTGCGTGCGCCAGAGCTTGTAGCCGCTGAATGTGTTTGGAGTGTGCGGCTAGTTTACAGCAGTGCCACATGGGGATTTTTGTGCAGAAGCCAGGGTGTCTGGAAACATGTTTATGGAACAGGCAGTTCAGAAGTAAATGGAAGCATTTTCACGTGCTTGCCTCTGTCACTCTTGAGTGGAAATCACTGCAAATAAAACAGAATTTCTCTCCTGGATCAACTGAAGAGCCCAGCATGGTAGGAATCAAACATGCCACCCCTCACCTGTAAAGAATAAAGTGCCACTGATAAGTTACTCTTGTTCTGCTAGCTGCCTTTGAAATGCAAAACTTTAACTTGCTAAGTCATCCAAACTTAACCTGCAGGATTTGTGCAGTAGCTCATTTCCTTAGTGTGTTGTGTGGGGCTTTTTTGCCTAGTTTTGCTGAGAGTTTATTCCGAAGAGGTTTCCTATACTATGGGTTTTTTTTTCTTTAGTATGTTTAACCATCTGAAAAATATATAAATCAACTTCTAGAAAGCAAGGTGGCAAGCTTTAAGAGTGTCAATTTGTTTTATAAGGTTCAGATGTTACAGAAACTTTTCCTTTGTCATGCAACTACACAACTTCAGATTTGTCTGGACTATTGTTTAAGGTGATGCTTGTGAGTATTTCTGCGATCACTTGTTCAAACACTCATTGCAATCACGTGTACAAGAAGTTCTAAAATACGGCTGATCATTTTGTCAGGTTTTGATACTGACATTTCATTCTCAGATTTTACATCTATACAGAATCATAGATCTGCATAATGACAAAAAGTAGTAAAAGCATCCCTTGTAACAGATGTAACAGTTGTGTTTAATGACTTAGTGAAGCTTTTGTCATACCCAGTGACCAGTAGAACATGGGATACACTAAACATGCAGTAGTATCTTGTGGTGTACTCTAATTATACAATGCTTTAGTTGATGTAAACTGAGAGGATTAGCATGAATATGACTTCCTTCACTATTATTGCTCCTATTTTTCCCTAGTTGATGTGAAAGGCTTGAGACAAGCATCTAATCCTGTCGCACCACCTACTGTTGAAATGCAGACATTGGGCATTTGTTTTCTTTGTCTAGATTTTAGTGTAATCCCCTCTTTAATGTCACGCTGCCCTGGTCTGGCTGCGAGTTCATAGTTTCTTAACTAGTGCTATTAGAGTGGAGATCCAACAGCAAAGCTAATGCGGAACCACTTGGAATACCCCACATTTAGCCAGTTATTTCAGCTGCCTCTTGTGCAGTTTAAGCATGTGGTTACAGGGGCAACAGTAAAAGGAAGAGTGTTCTCACATAGAGAAATTTGGCTGTTTCAAGTAAAATGTAAAACATTTCAGGCATGCATATATGTACTTTTTTTTTATCAAGTAAGATAAACTTGGCCATGTGAACATTGCACAGCTCCTCTCTCGTATATATTCTTCTTCAGCTATTTAGCATAACTTAGCTTTTGGCCACTTGCATGCAAGAAGCTCAACCCAAACAAGCATTCAGTGCAACAAGGTGCCTGCACAGTGCAGTCCTTAAGAAGGTGCACCCAGGATGGGCTGTTTAGCTCTTGGTCTACATAACAGCAGCTCTGGATATATTATCTGAGTGCAACACAGCTTGTTTTTTTGGTGTGTGTGTGTGTGTGCTCCTTTTATCTTTGAAAGGATGAAGTTGTCTTTTAAAATATAAAAATAAATCTGTATAGGAGGAAAGCCCCAAAACCTTTCTTGGATTGGCTTTGAGCCAGAGGTGTGATAGTTTTTAGGGACTGGTGGTACTGGTAACCTTAATATACTCAACCTGTAGAATGCAAAAAAAAAAAAAAAAATGATGTAGGCAAATGTCTGCTCAGAAGGCCAATCTTTCTAGGTCTTGCTTTGATCCAGAGGTCAGTATGCAGGTAAAACTGGATGCTTTAAGTTCTCAGGACTGTTTTGTTGCTTTTTACAGTGGTGTTTGTGTTTTTTTAATCAAGAAAAAGAAAATAGGAGCTGAAAACCTTGAGAGCATTGCTTATATTTACCATGCAAATAGGCAGTAAATTCCATTTTCATATATATATTTTTATATGTGTAAGCCTCTTAATTGGAGGCCATGTTGAAGAAGCAATTGCTTGAGCTTTTTGTAAAGTCCTTTTTAACCCCTCCCCACTTATTTCTGTTGCATCTCACCTACTTTCTCCACCCCAATTGCCAGGTATAGGATCCTTTCCCAAAGAGAAGCCTGCCTCCATGAGAAATTCTGCGGCCTCTTGGGCTAGCTCTGGTAAACTGCTTCCTAAACCCAAAGTGCCTGTCAAAAGGTCAGTGCTGGAGAGAACCCACAGCGTCTCGTCGCTCAGCAGCACGCAGAGCGAGAGGAGTCGTCTCAGCAGTAACTGTAAGTATTGGTCAGTGTCACTGTTGTCGCTGGGGCCCAGCACCAACTTGTTGCACAATCCTCTAGAAGGAAGGTGCTGTCTCACAAGGACCTGTTAGTTCTCACCTCACTTTTACTTGACTGGCAACTTTCACTCTTAAGATATATAATCCCAGGAACTTGGACTTTGATTTGTTGACTAAAACTTTTTGTGCATCTCCTTTTCCATCATGAAGCATCACAGAAACAGCAGTCTTCATTAGAAGTCTTCTTGCTAGAAGTTCCCCTGTTAGAAATGTTATTAGACACTAATAAGTTCCCTTATTGGAAAAAAAAGGTAAATGCTATGAAGGAAGTACTTGTCTTGGTGTAGAGACACTGCAGATCTCTTATACTAAATGTTCATGATGACCTAGACTGTATCTTCTTTTTAAGAGTTCCAAGGCAAAATGCGTCCCTGAGGTGAACAGTCTCAGATATCTCTTTTTTTAATAGCAAGTGCAACTTTGAATGGGTAGGCTTTTATCCTTTCTTATGTAACTGTCAGCACAGGTCTATGACCTGAACTAAAGCCATCTGAAGACTGGGGGGAGAATAATAATGCAACTGGCTTTAATACAAAGCTCTATGCAGGGTCTGTAGTAGCAGCTGTGGGAGTTTGTAGGGGGAAAAAGTGTGAAGGAAATAATGAAACTGACACTTAATCAGACATGTCAGTCTTCCAGCTATACATATTCAAATGAGTACATTCAAATATTCGGTTGCTATCACATGGCCTGTTTTATCCTGGAGACAGGGTAAAGGCATTTCCTTTATGCCAGATGTCTTCGCAGTCCATCTTGAACTGAAAGAGGACTGAGCGTTAGCATACGTGTATAGCTTGCATGTGCATATGCATGCGTACACATACAATGAGTTCTCTCAATTCCTTGTTTTCTTTCCTGTAGTCGTCTTACTAAAAAATGAAACCCTCCCATATTCCTGAAAGGACTAAGGGGGTACGTAACGAAATGTGCAGCGTGTGTTGGTCCGAGTGGCAGACTCTGCACCCTGGTGCCTTGCTGGGTTTGGGAAGCGCCTGGGAGCCGCGAGCAGCTTTGTTCCCTGCCCTCCCTCGTTAACAAAGGAGAGGGTCGGGCTCGGTGGCGAGGGAACGCGCGCCCTTCTTGGGATTAGGCATCCCAACTGCTGCCTCCCGCCTTAGCGTGACTCGCTAGCTGCTGTAATCTGTTTTGCCCGCTGCCTTGAAAGCTTCCCGCTCTTTCCACTCTGATTCGCTCCAAGAGCACGCGTGAGGAGTAGGAGAGCTTGAACATGGCTGCAGTGTCTCTGGCTCTGGGCTTGCTCTGATCCTTTTTAAATGACTATACCAGGAGGATTCCGCAGCTGCACAGAAACCGATTTTTCTCCTGATATTTTCATCAATTCTACACTAACGCCACCGACTGCATCAGGAAGCCACTACGACCTTACCTTACTGACCTTGCTGGTAGTGGGATCTTACAGCTTTTGTATTATTCCTTTGTTAGCCACCTTTACTGGGAAAAAAAGTAGGTCATTTTTTTCTGTTTTGTTCTTAAACTGTGTGTGTTTTGTTGAGGCTGCTAACTATGGCATATGTTCTGGCTTGTTGTTTTTCCCCAACATGATTTCCTTTGGATAAATTGCTAAACTTAAGTAAAAAGACTTGAATCTGGTCATAAGTTCTTGTGAGCATCATGAATTTGAGTAACATATAATTCATATGTTAGTATAAGAAAGTTTTTATGGCTCTGAATAAGACTTGGAAAGAATTAATAAACTTACCTTTACTTTAGTCTTTTCATGTACAGTGCTGTTGTTTTGGTGTGGTGTGTGTGGCTTTTTTTTTTTTTTTTTTTTTTTTTCCTTCTCATTGCCTCGGTCTTAGACAATGATGTCAGGAAAAGAAAAGGCAAATCTGTGTTTGTAAACAATGCTGAAATACTTCTGTTAAATTAGTGGGGCACAAAGATCAAACCAGGGTCGCTTTTCTGCTGTGAAGGTCATGGAAATTCATGTCCCAAAATTTTGTAGCCTGTGGACAGCCTTAAGTTGATGGAGTCTAGCTTGTTTTGCTTAAGGAGTTTGTCTTTTGTTGGTGTATGGCAGAGTGTTCCTCCTGCTGGGCCAGCTCAGCCCTTTGTTGTGATGTGTTTAAGGACCAGCAATTTCCTCTGACAGCATTAATCTTTTTTGTCTAATGAGCATTTGAGTTTTATGATTCTATCCTCTGAAGAAGCTCACTATTATGAGAAGTTTGGAAATCATGAAATTAAAATGCTGCTGCTGCTAAGTAATAAAATGCTTACAGCAAACAGGCTTTAGGTTTGAACACTGGAGGAAAAAAATTAACAGTAGAGCAATTGTGAGGAAAATCTCAGCAGTAAGCTGAAAATATTGTGATTGAACATGTTAAAATGTTTAAGCTCTGAGGTTAAGGGCAAGAATCCAAATGGGAATTGTCCTGGAGTAGATACATACAGAGGGAATAGTGTTTCAATCGCTGATCATAGCAGTTGGCCTTGAGCTGCATTTCTGTATAGTTTTAATACTTAAGTGTTTTTTTTTTTTAAAAAATTGCAATAGCTACTCTGAATTGTACCAGAAAATGTTTGGACTAGTGACTGACTAAATGACTAAAGTTGGCACATCTGCCCTACTTTTCTGCATGCTGCCTGACTAGCTGACTCCAGAGCTTCTGGTACAACAGAACAGTGCTGAGCTTATCCTGTGCCAGAAGTGTGCTTAATCCAAGTGCTGCTTCCCTGCTCAGTTAGAAAATTGTAATGCAGCAGTTTGCGGGCAGCGTTAGATGCCCCCAGTGCTCTCTGAGCAAATATCCTTAACTTGGTCATCTCTGGAAAAAGCTACAAAATGCCTAAGGGCTAATGCTTTACTGGAACAAATCAATTTTACACTGATCAATACCAGATAATTCAGATTCCACCAGAATAAATGCATCACTGACCCAAATTGTTCCTCATGTGTAAATTTGCTCTACAAATATTTAGCTTTTTGCCTTGAGAAAGTGACAGACAAAGCAAACCCTGGCCCTCTTGGTGTTGTAGAGATGCATTGAGGTATGGTCAAGAAGCACCATTGTGAAAACTAATTTTATACAGGTTTTTGCCTGTACATTTGGACACCAAAATCTTAGGACTATGTGTATCAAGTCTTTAGTATACAATATTTGATACATACTTAATGTAACTTTTTAATCAGCCTTAATGAAATCATAATCTGAGGCAGACCTGATGGATGAACAGTTTTTCCTGTTAAAAAAAAAAAGGCAGATTATTTCAGTGTTACTAGTTCTTGCTTATTTCTCAAAAATGCAATATAAACCTAACTCTTAATGTGTTAATATACATATCTCTTTGGTAATTGAACCAAAGTGTACTTGCCTATATTATTTTAGAAGTCTGTGTATGTGATTTAGTTTTGGAGGACGTTAGTGCCCCTGGGGAGGGGAGGATTTCCTTTATGTCCCATCAGCTCCTTGGTGGCTCTTCTGAGCTCTGCCCTCCTTAGAGCTCACTGTGATGTGTTGGTGGCTTAACAGTAAATTCTGTAGTGGGAATGAATTTTTATGTTAATGATACTATTGCTTTATTCAAAATGAAATTTATTGTGCACTTTTGAAGAGCAAGTTCAGATTTCTACTGTCTTTATGTACGTTTTACATACATTTCCCTCTTGCACAAAACTCAGTCTTGTCTAGTTTCGGAGATGTTTGTGATTCAGACTAATAGATTCAGTTCATCAGTCTCTGTAAAATAGATATCCCAGAAGTTAATATTCCAATATTTGTATGTTAATTTAGCCTGAAAAAATGTGCTTGTTATAAAATTTAATTTTCCCAAAACTATATACAAATTCTTTGATGTCCTTCTGTGTTGTAGCCACAAGTGCCACCATCATAATCAAAAACGGAGAATGGTCTTCAAAAACAACTTCTCAGAACAGTGCTTCTGGATCTCTCCCTTTAAAAGCATTACCAAGGCCAAGAATACACTCCTTGAAAACAACTCCAAAAGGTATCTGGGTCTGTTTGTAGCTGGACTTGAACTGAAGTTACTCTCGTTAACACTTGATTGCTTTGTGAACCAGGGGCTATCAAACAGCCACCCCGGAAAATTGTGTGAGGAAGTTAAGACACACCAATAGTGCTTTCAGTTTAGAAACACTTTTTCTGCACTGTGGTGGGGACTGATCCAAAAAGAACATGGTTGTGATGTCCTTGTAACTGAGCTCAGCCTAATGCTTTCTGCTAAATGGCAGGTGTCATTACCTCAATTTTGTTATACTTAGATATGTAGTCAAAAAGTTTAGGCAGAATGACTCTGTAGCTGATGATATGATGATCTTCAGAATAGATGTACCTTGAATGGATTTCAAGCATATACTCATCCTCTTCCTCATGCAGACTATGTTTTTTCAGAAGAAAAAGGGCTTTGGGGATGGAATGTCTTTCTGAATGGATATTATTAAATTAAGTCATTCCTAGATGAATGTCATTGCCTCCTTTTTCAAAGGGAGGAATCCAAAAAAAAAAAAAACCCCAAAACAAACAAACAAAAAAAACTAGTGCCTCCTGCTTCTTTCTCTTGATGCTTCTCTTATTGGTTGAGGTGAAAGTAGTATCGTTCATTTTTATGTGTTTCTCCATCTGGTCCTAAAAGAAACTTAGTTTAAATATATTTTCTAGATTTGTATTACCCACTTGATTCCCACTTCTGATAGTGCTAGAGGAGGATGCAGTGAGAAATGATCGCCAA